AAAAAAAAAAAAAAAAAAGAAAAAAAAAGAAAAAGAAAAGTAAACCAGGATGAGGAGAAGCCAGCTGGGTCAGGAGCTGGGTAAGAGCTTTTTAGGCAGAGGGAACTGTGAGTCTGGGCGTCTTCTTCAGACAAGAAAGAGCTTTGTGGTTGGAGCTTAGGGAGCAATTGAGAGAATGGCACAGGGTGGTGCTTGTGGTTCAAAGGAGTAGGGCGCCGGCCCCATATACTGGAGGTGGTGGGTTCAAACCCAGCCCCGGCCAAAAACTGCAAAAAATAAAATAAAAATAACCACCACTATCACTAAAAAGAGAGAGAGAGAAAGAGAGAGAGAGAGAATGGAACAGAGAAGTTTAGAAAGCTAAGCAGGTGAAGATTCTGTAGACTGGTAAAAAGGTTCTTCTAAGTTCTATCTGCTGCTGCCCCAGCAGCTGTCAATGCTACCACACTTAGAAGTAGCAAGCATTATGCACAGGTGATAATGACAACAAGAGCATCTACTGCTCTATACCAACCTGGAGGGCTGGATCAAGCAGATTTCGGGGCCAATTTCCCCCCAGAGTTTCTGATATGCAAGGAGTCTCTGGTCACAGGTGGGGTCAGAAAATTTGCATTTCTAACAGGTACCCAGGAGACGTTGATCACGGTTGGAAAAATGCTAGTCTAGAGCGGTGTTTCTCAAGCTTTTAAAGTACATGAAAAGTATTTGGGGAATCTTTTTGAGAGGATGCATCTGTTAAACCACATAGGTGTGGGATTTTGCCTTTCTACGTTGTCCCAAATGAGGCTCAAAGCTGCTTCACCTTGGAGCTTAGGATGGCAAGACAATTGCTTTAGTTCATCTTCTCGTTACTTCCATAAATTAATGCTGGTGTGTAGTATGGGGGAAGAGAGTTCAATGTATGACTTTAATAAAGTTACTACATGTGAATGTGTGTGTATGTGAAGAGCCGTGTATATACTCACACCTGTATATGGGAGAGAGTAAAAAAGATCATTTAGCTCAAACCTTTTGGTTTTTATCAATAAAAAAATGGTTTAGTGGTAGTACTTTAATAATCTTTGGAATAAAAGAACTCCTATTTTTCACTTTTATTTATACACTAAAAAATGAGAAACTAATTGTGGTTTGATGCTAAACATTTGTATTGAAAGTACACATCTGAAAGCAAGCAGCAAGCAAGTGTTTAATCTTTAAGCAAGATTCTGGTGTCTAAACTTCTAACTTTGTAGGAGGAAATCAGACAACTCTAAAGAGAGGGTGCACTGATCAAAGATGGCCCCAAATAAATATTGTTACCTACTCAAAATTTCCTCTATTTTGACATGTAACAGGAATATATGTCTAACATTTTTTATTGTGATAGATACTTGTAGTGGTTGAGATATGAAATGTTATTGAAGCAATGGTTTTAAATACTTTTTTCTAAAAGGGGCATCATGTGTCTTTCCATCTTATTATATGTACCTGTTGATGTCCATTCCTATGTCAGAAAAACAATTCGTATTTGCTGAAATTGTACCATTTCAAAGACTGATTAGGTATCTGAAGAGATTTACTAGATACTTCTAAATGGAAGTGGTATGTGAACATACTAATTGATTCATACATAGAGAGATAAGAATAATTTGGTTTAGTATCAAATCAATATTTGAACAACATCCCCCTGAGGCTAAGGAAAATCTCCACCTATTAGGTATCCCTTTTGCTCCTTTATTTTTATTGTCTCTCATTTTAAAATGTTCTATTAGTAATCATATGTCAACTCATGTTTTTTTAGTTTTTTTGGCAATGTTGTTGAACATTGACCAAACTTCTCTACATTTTCTGCGATAATAAGAGAAATCTCATGGGGGTGAGGAGAACTTTTGGTCAATTCCAAAGGGTTTGGTTTTCCAGCAAATGCAATGTCAAAACAATTACGGAATTTAAAGCTATCAGCCATTTGCAAGACTGTAGATCTATTAGAAACTTAATTTATAAAAGAAAGCCTTTCAGATTATCCCACACATTACATTTCTAATGCAGTTTATGGCAATTTCCAGTTTTGTGAATTAACTAATTGTCAGAGATACCAAAACTCTGACTTCTATAGATAAGTTGCTTACAAAGACAGTAAATCCTCACTGAACATTGTCAGGAGGTTCTTGGAAACTATGACTTCAAGTGAAACAATGTATCATGAAGCCAATTGTACCGTAGACTAATTAATATAAAGAAGAGTTAAATTCCTATGGCCTATTCTTGGTCACAAAAACATCACGAAACTTCTAACTAATATCAACGTCAAAATATAAATGTAGAAATGAATCTCTAAATACAACATTTTATTAGGGAAGCAAGAATTGCACCTCTGAGCATATACTCAGGTCTTCAGTATGTCTGAAGAACAAATGTTGGAGGTTTGGTAAAAAGGAGAAAAGTCACATATATATAATTTTTGAAAGAAACTTTGCTGGCATTAATGAAATTTTGGGGAGTTGACAAACTCTGATTGGTGAATGACTGAAGTTGGGTAGAACTCTTTTTAGCAGATTGCTGCAGGAGCTATTAGGTAAAACTGGTGTCAGGTTACAGTAGGGAGTCTCAGCTACTGGCTTGTAGACAATTACATTCTGGGAGCAATGTGTTAGGTGTACGTCCCCTCCTTGTTCTCTCAAGTCTGTTTTAGTTGGTTATGACAAGAATGACTCAATTTGTATGATCAAGTTTCACATTAAAGACCCAAAACACTTAAAAAATTAAAGTAAACGTGAGCTATACATACATTTACGAAAGATTAATAAAAAAAATAATTGTTTAACAAATCTTTGGTGAATCAGTGAGTGATGGTGGTCGTAGTGGTGGTGAGTTAAATCAATGAACAAATGTTTGCAAAGTGAAAATTGTAAGGGGTACTTCCTACCACCATGCACTTCACAAAAGATAACAAATATGGTGGCCTTGCTGAGCATTTTTTTCATAATAACTGGTATGTGTATATTGCTGTGTAACAAATTGCCACAAACTTACATGCTTTAAATAGCACCCATTTATTATCTCACAGCTATTTTGGTCAGAGGCCAAGCGTTCCCTGGCTAAGGTCTCTGAAATCAAGGTTTCAATTGGATTGGGTTTTATTTGGAAGCTCTAGAAAAATCCACTTCTCGGATTATTCATGTTGTAGGCAAAATACAGATCCTTGCAGCTGTATTTCTGAAGTCCCAGTTTCCTTCCTGGCTGTCACCCAGGCTGCTCTGTTTCTAGAAGCTGTTCCCATTATTTCTTAAGTTTTGCACTTTCCCTTCTACCAGCCAGAGAACACGCTCTACTTTTATAGGACACAAGTGTGATGAGATGAGGGCCATCTGAATAGTCTCCCTTTGATGAATTCAAACTCAAATCACTGGTAACCTTAATTACAATTCAAAATCCTTTTAAATCATAGTCCCTGGTGTAACATCTCATCATGCTTAATTTCGAGTCACAAGGAAAGAAGTCTCAGGGGGTCGTTTTAGAATTCTACCCAACACAAAGACTAGAGGCAAACTGGGCCAGCTCATTTTTAAAAAATAGCGTATATGTTTCTAATTAGTTGATGCCCTCCTACTCAATAGGCTTCTAGAATAGAAAGTGGGGACATGTTAGGCAGTTAGTTAGAAACAGCTTTCCTGGGGAAGGAGGAC